ATCAGTAACTAATACACCGCGAATGATTTAACATTATAGCGAAATACAGACATAGCTAAATGAATAGCTGTGGGTGAGAGTAGATCCATGGATCGTCATAGTAAAATTGTCAATTTACGACAGCAGTCAGCATAAAGCTAGACAAAGTACAATTCACAAAACAATGAATATAGATCTAAATAATTTAAATTTAAACTGTTCTCGACAACAATCTGTTGAATATCTAAATCTGAAATTGAATAAGAAAACTTCTCTGTCCATATAATATCCTGCTTGATTCAGTGTTCCATGTTCCCACCAAAGAACAAATCCGCTTCAATCGTGGAAAATATCAACAAAATTGCTGCTTATAGGGCACACAGAAAATCACCGACGTCTTATCGATTCATATCTAGAAGATATTACTATCGATTGCTGTTTTGATCAGCGATTTTTTCCATTTTTTTCAACAACTCATTTCTTCCTTGTTACAATATTCGACGCCAGCGTTAAAAGGAAATGACGTAGATACAGTACCTACGTCATAACCAGGGCAGGGTATAAGTTGTTCCCCAAATAACAGAGACTATTCTATAGAAATAGTCATCATTATTTAAGATGAAATAATCTTTGTTTCGAGCGGGTTCGAAATACTTAAAAAGATAATGAAAAGCCTTTTATGCGTCCTGTTATAGTTTCCTAAAGGTTAATCACTGGCCGATCACCCGAAACATATGTTGCTGCTGTTGCTTTCTGGGAATAAGTTCCGTTATAGAAATTTATTATTTTGTATGGGAATCAAAATACTATGTTTTACATTTTCTACTTTTATGACAAATAATTTCACATTCAGCGACAATAAGCGTCTAACATGCTCAAAAACCATTATTTATACATGTTTTAATCTCGTGTATTATGCCCTTTCTCGATAAGGAAAACTGTATTCGTTTCTCAGGCTTTAATTTAAGTGCCTTTAATTTACACAGTTCGTGTGTTTATTATTGTTGAACAGAACAGAACAGAACATATACTTTATTTCTGACTTGGGCTCAACACCCATCATCATAATATACATATACATGTATATTTATTACAATGCATGCATCAAGAAATCACGTCATAATAAATTCAATCAGTTATATTCAAGTATTTAAACATAACATAATTAAACAAGTTGAATGAGAATGTCAAAAGGCCTCAGATTGAATGTATATGTATGTGAAATGTTTGCCAGTACAATTAAATAAATACTTACTCTATATGACAACTGTATATGCAGAAAAAGAATGTAAGTTTGTAATAAATTTAAGCTAACAAAGGCAAAGTTTTATAACTATTTTATGCCATATGATAATTTATATCTTAAACCTTATGTTTTCTTATGCAAGAAGGAAGAAAACAAAAACGCCCCGAGTAGATAGATCAATGTTTGGTCAAATCGGTCAATCGTTTAATCATGGTCAGTCTGCATAATTTGTTGATCTTTAATGGAGGTGTCATTTTATAAATGTACAATACAGTCGTTTACCAGTTTAGGTATGTGTACCTATATTTCTGATAACCACAGTTTACTGACATTTTATAACACTACGTTCCATTTTCTATTCAACTGTAAAAATTATAAAAATTAATTGGAATATAAATACTTCTTGTTTATGTACATGTTAATGGATAAGCCGCAAAAAACCGGGAAATGGATTCATTCTGAAAATCGGTTTATACAACTAGGTAAATTTTATACTGTTTTATTTTTTTACCTTTCTCTAATTCTTACAAAAAGTTTATTTACTAAAATTTGTTCTCATGGAACTGTATTTTCCGGGCCATATGCTAAATGTGTTGCTTTCCAATGAATGAACTCAAAATAAGTTGCATATAATTATGCTACATATATAGTTTTTACCAATCTATTCGGCTGTTTTCTCTCTTGTTTAACCATTTCCTCTATCTGTCTATCAGTCCGTCACTTCTTGTAATCATGACTAAAATTATATACTAAATACTAGACATATATATCTATAATACCTGCAGTTATATCACGTACAGTGTATTTATAATATCATATTCATGGGTACAAACTTTCAGGCATTTGCCTGAGTTCAGATCTTTTCTACATACGAAAGCTCTCATTTTCTGTATAAAATCAATTAAAATAATACTTAATCCAGAATTTTCAAGTTTTCTGATATTTTCAATTTGCATCCATACATAATACATGTAATAGGGCCATTATTTTAAAGGTGTATTGGGCGTACTAAAATGTATGACAGAAGTTTTGTTTAAGGAATATTTACATATCGTTATGATAATAATACAAACCGTACATTGATAAACACATTTTCCCCATGTTATATTGGAAATTTACTTTTCAGCAAGTGTTAGTAAATATTAACTTTGTTTTGTCAACATTACAAATAATTGTATAAACATCAGTCCTTGTCGCTAGTCATTCATACTACAGAGATGACCAACTTTGGTCAGTTTTTATGCCAATTAAAATAAAAATGACATGGTGTGTACATGCGTTCGTTCGCAATATCACCGTTTTTACTTCAACTGTACAAGCAGATACAAAACAACGCAGATTAGTTTCAAAGATAGTTACGCATGTTATACATATCCTAGTAGGGTATTATTTTGAAAAAATAAAGTAGATTTTTTTTTTGGTTTTGTTTTCGTTAAATTTTAGCACACATGTTTGGGACAGAACATTTACATTTATTATTCATAGTAGTTGTTACAGATCTCCTAAATATAGCAACAACGATTTTTGTCATTTGCCGGCAATTCGCTCTATTTGTACAGATATACATGTACATGTATAATGATTAACACGTGTTATATAATTATTCTTTTTTATCGTATATAGGTAATAACATGTCATGGAGAATAAATTTATACAATTTAATATAAATACTTGTATCTGTAAATCGTTTATATATGAGCCGTGTCACGACAAAACCAACATAATGGGTTTGCGACCAGCATGGATCCAGACCAGCCTGCGCATCCGCGAAGTCTGATCAGGATCCATGCTGTTCGCTTACCAACTCTATTACAAGTAGAGAAACTGATAGCGAACAGCATGGATCCTGATCAGACTGCGCGGATGTGGTCGCAAACGCACTATGTTGATTTTGTCGTGACTAGGCTCAAATAAATGATTCAATTCTTGATAGCATGAATCATTTTCTGCCGTAAGATATTTATTCAGGAAGACCATGTTATCTTTACCATTAGATACATGTTGCACCGGTCAACAGAATAATATTGACTTATAATATAAAATAATGCGTTCATGACAGTATCTTGTAATAACATTTTCACAAGCTTCATTGATACATCGAAATCACGTGATCTGTAAAATTTAGAAAATTTACACTGAATCCCAACAACTTGAATTCGTCTCCTCACATTTGACCAGACCAGTAAGAAGCCAATTATAAAGATGGTATTTGGTTTTATCCTTGTGTGTGTTTTCCGTGACGAATTAAAGGTTCATTGAGCCTTAAAATACTACTATTTAGAGAATAAAACTAACAAAATAAACGTATTTAACTTATATATTCATTGATCATATAATTGGGCCATCTTTCGGTTCTTTTGCGTTTTGGCAAAGTACATTTATAGAGATAAAGCATTTTGTATGGAAGTCGAAACACCATTTTGTTTACATTTTGCTTACTTCATTGCAAATTATTTCATATTCAGCGGTTTTTTTTTTGTTTGTTTGTTTTGTTTTTTGTTTTTTTTGCTTTAGATGTTAAGCATCTCACATGTTCTTAATCAAATATTATAACATCATAAAACACATGTTTGACCTTTCTACAGAAGAAAAATAAGAATTTTTATTCTTCATGTGTGTTTAATTATTGACAATATGAGTTATGCCCTTCATTCTTTATTACTTCAAAACTATTTTGTAAAAAAGTTCGCATTCCCTCCCAGAAAATTAGATATTGACTGTTTCGGGAACACTTGTTTGGCATCTTCGCACACATATATATAACTGCAGTACAACCCACACTTTCGAAAATTAACCCATCAAAGCAAAGGCATAAAACATTATACTTTGATAAATTTGCATAAAGATGTATGTAATTATAGACAAATTAAATAAAATCTTCAAACTTATTTTGAAGTTGAAGCCAATGCATATAGGTAGTACACGGTTGTTTTGAATTTGAAATATCGTAAAATATTATAGTGCCTGACGATAAAAATTTCATGTCTAGATCTATTAATTTCCCCTGGCCTCGAAGTTGTAAAACTTTCTTTCTAAACAGAAAGCAGACCTCGAATCTCGTGCTTTTCATTGGTCGGTGTATATTTCTAACTAATCAAATACTTCAAGATCTGAGTTTAAGCTTACACCTCGGACCCAACCTGGTATGGTAAAATTGTTCGTATTTCCTATCGTTTTAAGCTATTATTAATGACTTACTTCGTCATTATAATAATAGTAACCCAGATTATATACGATAATATAAAAGAGAAGGTCTCTCGAAAGCAGTGAACACAAAGATGGCGGATGCAATTACATTGTAAATGGTCATTATGTAAAATTAGTTTTAGTTAGTTCCGGTACTCATACCTATTTTTGTATTTATCATCTCCGTTTGTTAAGTGTATCATTTAACACTAAAGAAACATAAGTTATTTATGTTACTTAAGTTGACAAAGATTCTTTAACTGAGGCAACAGTCGCCAAAATTATGTCACATATATGACAATAACTAGCCAAAATAGCTAGAACTCTTAGACAGATTAATCCAAGTCTGGTTAACTTTAAATATTGAATCATTCACGGATATTTTAACATTTCCCGTTTTATTCACTATATCTCTTAATCGGATTAGAGAAGAAAAATATTCCAACCCTTGACCTCTGTTATAATATTACTAAATATCGGTGTAAATGGTCAGTCTAACACCTTTAATCCTCTCATAAGGTGCGGTCACTATATACAGTATTTGTTATGCTTGACCGGGCTGTGAAGCTAAAATGCCTTAAGGTATGTTCTTTTAGCAGTCAAAATGTTTGACCTTCTTTCTCAAGTTATTAAAACGTACTTCTGACCAACTTTACTGTTTGCGCTTACAATCTAATATTTATGATGTGGGAGTTATAAGAGGGAAAATGTGAACATGGGAAGGGAATTAACGTCACGGAAATAGTTGGACTGATTTAATGGAATATAATTCGTATAAAACAGGTACTTTCTTCTTACTTTTGATTTTTAAATAAGAATAGTGAGATACATGTATATATATATATATATATATATATATATAGATTGATAACTGTTGTCACAATATCACATTTTTATTTTGCGAAAACACGACCTGGAAAAAAATTTACAACATGTATATATACAAATGAAAATGACAAAGCTTAGCTTGTACTATTTAAACAATAAACTCTTAAAATTCCTAAATTTCTCCTTTAATTTTGTGTATTGGCTGAATTACGAAGAAAATAGTCAGGCAAGACACCAGTGAAAATACGAAAATATGTTTCACTGCAATGAACAATAATTTTTACAGTGAAAATACGGAAAATGAAAATACGCATTCTATTCATCAATATTTCTTTATATTTCATTCATAATTATATGATATACGCTGTAATATATGTTACCCATATTATACACGATGATATAAAAGAGAAGGTCTCTTAATATACGATAAGCTGCAGTATACGGTAATATAAAGTAAGCTGCGGTATACGGTAATATACGGTAAGCTGTAAAAATTATTAGTTATAAAGATTCTTGACAGGTTATATGGCCCTATATAAACGGTTGCTTGTATATATAACCCGAGCCGCAGTCATAAATTGACAGCAGCCGTGTATATAAAACTATATTAAGGTCACCATTATCCAATGAAAAGTGACGGTACAAACGTGCAGCTGTAATATACCGCAAGCTGCAGTATATGGTAATATAAGGTACGCTTTAAGGAAAATATAACGGTAACATACGGAAAGCTGCAGTATACGGTAATACACGGTATGCTGTGATAAGGTACGCTTTTAGTATTGTGGCAGAATTAAGATGTGGCAGAATTAAGATGAATAAAGATGATTTTTTTTTTCAGATATGAAGGTGGCTTTACAGAAGTATCTAGAACGAACCATTTTGTTCGTATTGTGCATGTGCGTAATGTGTTTGCTCATACAGAACAGTTTGTTACAACAGTCCCGCACGGTAAGGCTATCTTTAAGCTATATAAAATACCGAATCTGAAAATGATTAGCCATGGCCACTGGCATAGAACTATGCACATTTATGCAATTTGCCAAGACCGTTTACTGTAGTTCAATTTTTATATATTGGCATTGAAATTCCTTCAAGTAGACTGTTCAAAATTCAAAGCAGAACAAATCCGAATTTTAAAGGTTAACTTTTCATACAACAGTCTTAATAAATGACAGGGGGAACAGTGCTACATAATAAATGCGTTTTTTTTAAAATAATTATTCAACGTGATGCTGTATGAAAAAATGCAAATTGATTGTAGATCTACAGAAATATAAAATACAGCTTTTGTCAACAAAAATATTCTTAAAACACAGTATATAAACGATTTGAACCCCAACCGGATCTTGTGAGAAGATTTTAGTGTCAGCCATATTCTGCCACTACACTTGCTTACGATATTGGTATTTATATTGATACTGATGGACGTTAGGTTAGTAAATCTATATTTATATTATTAGAGAGAAACTTTATTAAACGTCTAAGTTATGCAAAACATAAACATTAGCACGAAGGCTATAAAATAATCGAAACTCACGAACAGCTTTCAGGTGATCAACACTGAACACGAACAAAAATCGTCTTATTCCAATGTTGATTTAATTAAACATTGAATTGTGATATTGAACAACTAAAGTAATCAATAACAAACGATAATTTAGTCATATGCATAACATATTGCTGTATCTTGAACATAAATTTAAGAGTTTTACCAAGGAGGTCATTTCCGTAAACTGAACGTTACTTGCTGGTGATTGTGAACCCTACTTGTGAGTTTACGAAATTTATCTGTACCCTGACTTGTGAGTATTTTTAAAGATTTATTGGAGAAAAAGTTTACGTTCATTGCGATTTTGTATCAATTATTGCCAGAAAATATAAATGATTGTAATAGAATTTTAGTATATAAGGTGGGATCTAAGGTATTTACCGAGAATCATTTGTTTAATAAAATATATAATGCTATGTATATTTTTCTTTCGGATCACCATGGAAGAATAAAACTGCATATACTGTTCAGTAAAGACTACGAATTTCAATGCCATCATTGACCACATAATTATTCGCCATCCAGACTGCAACTTGAAAATAAGAATAAATAATAATCAGAATAAAATTTCCTACTTAAAAAATTCAGCGTTACAGCCAATAACGTAAACGAAAAAAAGAAGTTTTATAACACCAATTGCTGAAACACTGACGTACATGTCAGAAATAGAAAGTCAATGAATTTCTGAGAATATAAAACAGTGTTTAAAAAAGCAGACTGAAATCAACGGTAGGTGTAAAGCTTTCAACATGTTTGAAATAAGTAATCTGCAAAAAAAAATCTTGTCATGATATTTCGAGGTTTATTGATACGTGACGTTATATAACCTAACAACAATGCCGTAGAACTAAAATATAAAAAAAAATATAGTACATATGTAATATTTTAGCTTTATATCTTTCCAAAGAAAAAATGAATGGTAAAGTGAAGATGAGGTTTGTTTAGTTAATTATTCCTATCAAAAAATAATTGACTTTCTGATTCGTATAAACAGCCACTTTCGTAGACAGTAAAAGCATGACGAATCTCCTCCATTCATATGCAGTTTTAGTACTTACATGTAAAACATGTACCCTTCTCTTGTGACACAATAACTTCATATTCTGCACAAAAAAATTTGGAACATACGACAAAAACACAATAAAAATCATCAAAAGTGACTCGCAAGTAATGGTTCAGTGAAAACACAAGTAGGGTACAGATCATTAAAATTGTTTTAGCAAGACGGGTACAGTTATCAAAAATGTCGCCTCTATTATTAACTATGTTTTATCAATATTCAAAGATATTTTCACAAGTGTCTGTCCGGTAACATGAGGTTAAGACAATAAATCAAAGATTCAGATATGAGTTATAGTGAAGTAAAACAATTTTAGGCATACATTTGCTTGTGTAATCGGCGTGTGTTGACATAAACAAAACATGAGGCGAAGAGCACAGCGTTTTATGCGCATATATTTTACGAAGAAGTTTATGGGTGTATATTTAAGCAAAGATAAATTATTTCTTAATATGATTCAAATGTTAACATACCATAACATATTAAATTCAAGCCGATTTTTAATAGTTTAATGTGTCATTACGCCTGATTGTACGTTTAGATGCTGGGATCTTCTCACAAGATCCGGTTGGGGTTCAAATCGTTTATATACTGTGTAAAAGAATAATAAAATAAATACAATTGTCTAATCTATAGGAAATATACATTTTGTGCACCAGGGCGTTATAAAATATTAAGATTGGACGGCAATTGTAACATAATAAAACTCCGTCTCGGTATAAGTATGTGTCATAATTGCTTACTTAACTACCCAGTGTCAATTTGTTATCGAAGTTTGACTAGTTTCACTTCGCTGCCTGTATTATAAAACTTTGTGTACTATCATGTCCGTCACAGTTGAACTATTATTACCATGCAAGATTAAATATTGTATTTATTATTTACTTTATTCAGGTAACTCCGACGTTGAGAAACGTTAAGCCTATTTTAGTTTTAAATTCAATAAATCTCATACTCGTTCTTAATAAATGAACATCTAAGTATATTTGTTTTATATATTATGGAAGGTTAAAAAGTATGTTTGCCATAATCAATGACATTTAGTTTATACAGATTAAAATGCGCATATTTGTCATTCAAAAGCAAGGGAAAGAAATGTATTTTATTTTCAAATGCAGTAACTTTGTCTTTAGTAGATACTTTGTTGTTTGCAATATGCATCAACATTAAGAATATGTTTAAACTTTTGTAGTATCGCCTAGGTATGTGCCATGTATGTCTTTGGCGATTATGTATAAAGATGTTATACTTTTGTATAAGTCTAATAAAATACCTGCTCTGTTCTGTCTTGATGAAATTATTTATTTTGTTTAACTGGCAATTATAATTTCTTTTCCTTCGAAAACTTGCCACCCAAACAGTTCGATTAAATCTTATTAAGATAAAAAAATTCAGGTTTAAGTCATTTTAAGACAATTTTGTCATAATGTAAACCGCAAAAATATATACCTTTTGTTTTTATTTTAGGGCTATCTAATCATTCATCAAAACGGTGAGTCGTTCCGGGTGAGGTCTAGGAAATATTTACAGACTGATACTTTAACAAACAGTGGTCAACATCTTGCTTATAAACGGTCTGATAAAGATGATAACCTCACAACAACGCAATCACCGTTCCAAGATACTTTACTGCAATGGCGCCAATATGAAAGAGAGGCTCTGGCGGTGTTTATCTTGAGCGCCATTGGCTCAAATTCTACAAAAAAGGGAGGCTACAAACGCGAAATTAAATTGAACGGTTGGGAGGCTATGAAGCACCGGTTGGCGAGTATCAAGTGCTGTGTTTTATGGAATACTGATAAATTTTCTTACTTTAAAGATCCTGAGAAAATTTTCTGGAAAAGTAGCAGACTAGCTGCAACACAATTTACATGTCCCATTCGAGGACCTTTAGTAGACGTAAGGGGTGTAACTCTTGAGTTCAGAAAGAAGCCATGTCCGAGGGACGAATCCGTGTATGTGAAACCATTTCTACCAAAACTTCAACCGAAAGAATCATTTGCAATTTGTGTAAAAATAGTTTACGGTGTTGTAGATATGAAGCTCCTGGTAGACTGGATGGAATATTACCGTGAAATGAAAGTAGACAAAGTATTCATGTTTACGTATAATTTAACAAGAAACATAGAAACAGTTCTACAGCATTATACAAATACAGGCTTCTTAGAAAGAAGACATTTTGATTTTCCATGGAAGAAAGATGGTTGTAAGTAAAAGTTTTTCGTGTATTGCAAGTCTATCATACAGGTTTCTTTATCTTCTCCACTTCAAAACAGGATTTCTGAATAGTAGTCACGTTTTTGGATAACTAATTGTTTGGGGTCTTGTAATATATAAATCTGAATAAAATCAGCTGCTAATTAGAGGCATTATGTTATACAGTTACCTAAATGATTCTGTAAAATGTTCTACCATTCCTGAATCAGAGTCTAATTAATTTACGTCCGTCCGTCCGCGGACTGTTATTAACGGGGCAAAAGATATTATTTAAAATGAAAATTAGTGTTCTTGGACTATTACATGTTTGTTAAATGAATGGTATAATTTTAAGCATTTAAAATCAATACAAACAATTATTGCTAGTATTTAAAACATTTGGCGCAAATTGACGTGTTTGATTTTTTTAACAGTCAGCTTGATGTTTTTGGCCTTGCTTATCACTTACCACACAAGCCTAACCTGTAAACAAGCACAATATTGTTAGTTATACTCATCTGTTTAAGATTTTGTTTTTTTAAAAAATCTTAAATTTACAATTAAACTTGCACATACTGGACAGAAAAAGTAAGTATTTTAAAATACACAAAATAATCAGGCCCGAACATACTTCGGAATAAACTGAAATTTTAGAGTTTCAATTGACATTTGTTTATTCCAGCTAACAATTTATTACTAATAAGTTGTGCATATTTAAATTCCATAATTAGGTTTAATTTAAATGATTTTATGTAAAAAAAAATGATTGTTCGTATTTCCCCACCCTTATCATTATTATTTTTTTTCTATTTTTCTATTATAGTAATGAAGCGGGAGATCGGTGTAAAGATGCGAGTGTGTGGCAAGATGAACAGGTGGTTTGTGTTCGATTGTTACCAGCGTCTCCAAGGTTACACGTACATCTCCATTATTGACCTTGACGAGTTTCTGTTACCAAGAAAACACAGCAACATAAAGAAAATGATGGTAATAAATCGTATTTTTGGTTGGCCAAATATAATATAGGAAATACACGTACAGTCAAGATTGGCAGAAGAATTAAACACATGTAGTGCTAAGGTTGAACAGTGCTTCAAATACGGGTTCCCTACATAATAAATATTTAGAAAATAAAATACATATTAATGAAGAGATACTGTTCGAGCCGTAGTTTATATCCTCATTGTGGCCGTTTTTGGTTTCTGTATAGCGACATATACAATTAACAAGATCTGGGTACACCGGCTACCTTAGCCAATCAAAATGGATAATTAATACTATTTCATAACAAAATGTTCTTGAATGGATCTAAAAAGGGGCGCCTACGGGGGAACACCATCGGCCATGTTTTTGTCGGGTTAATTTAAGAACTTAGAAGTCAGTGTGTAGGCATTAGCTCTGTTTATATTCAAGAAGGAGTCTATTTCACAAAACAAACACTATTTTTGAATACCTAGCTGAACGGCGATTATATGCATTTTTTGGCGGGAAACTTGAGATACCTAATACAGTAGAAAAAACATTTTGATTGAAGTATATCCTTTTAGGTTATTTATATATCACACATTAAAAGAATATATTATTTCTTTTGCAGAATGATATCACAAGACAGTACCCAAAAGCTGCTGGATTTACACTAAAAAGTTTTATTTTCGCAAAAGATTGGAATAAAACTGTAGCTACAAGTGGTTCTGACATTGTGCAATATTTACGGAGAACACCGGCTCTCTACACACGACAGAAAAATATCCTTATTCCAGGGCGGGTTCAACCAAAAAGTCTCGATACTCACGAGTTTGAGCCCGAGACTGGATATGAAAGGTAACGGACACTGCTGGTTCTTTTTAACTGCTCAATAAACTGTATTTTGTTTAAAGAAAACTTTCTTTATTTGGAAAAGATTTGAAAATATTTAAAGGCTCATTTTGCCTCATGAAATGATTTTTTTTTTCAATTTTTGGCGTACTTTAATAGCATCCAAAAAGTTATTCATTGGCCAATTACCTGAACCATCTTTTTTATCTGTTGCTTTTTGGCAATAAGTTTAGTTATAGTGAATTAGTATATTGTATGGTAGTCAAAATACTACTTTTTTTACATTTTACTACTTTTATGACAATTTTTTTTTCTCACAATTATCGTTACTTTCTTTAGGTAACAAGCATCTAACATTCTGTAATACAATTATCTAAACATTATAAAATTCATGTTAGCCATTTCAAAAGAAGTGATAAAAAATTATTTATTTCTGAGGATAATGTGCCTTTAAATAAATATGAAGTTCGATATTAAATTGAAGTAAGTGAGGGCCTATTCCGAGCACATAAAACGTAGTTATTTTTTTTCCATCCTTATAAGAATATTTTAGAACATGTGCTTTCAATATTAACAAAATCCAAACCATTATTATATAAAGTAGCAGAAAAAAACTACTTCATTAAACATTAGCTAGAGTTACATGAATGATTGTTAAATTTTGCTCTTGTACAATATTGAACGAAGAATTTTATATCTTATAAATGTAAATGACATGACCTTAATAACATTATGTTTCATATACATATCATTTCAGAATAAAACTACCGGAGTCTACAGCTGCACTAAATCATTACCGCACGTGCTATTCCGACTTCCGGAAATTATGCAGAAACAAGAAAAAGAGAATTTTTGATAAAGCAATTTTAAATGTGGTTGATAGATTTAGAAATAGAACTTTATGGATAAATGATGTTGGTATTTTATGATTTAAAGATTATGTTTCGTTAGGTATTCAAGTTATAAATGACTGGAGGAAACTTAAAATACATTCAATCACCACGAGAACACTCGTGCGGCGATTTGCAAAATCACGTGGCAGCAGCAAGAAACATTAAAACAAAACATCTTGGACAGCCGCAAGAACGCTATCAATATTTTATAAATGTGTGTAAGATATTTTAACTTAACTAGTACTGTGTTAGTGTATTTTGTCTGAACTTTAATTGTTTTATTATTTTTTTTTTATACAAGTGGCGCTATACTTACCAGCATTTCTTCTCTTATGTGTTAAGTACGTGCCTGTAATATTGAGGTCATTTTAGCTTGTGAATTTGAAATTTTACTATCATTAGATCTGATAAAAACAACAATTTAAATATTGTTTCTTTACTGAAATGGTTCTGTTATTTTCAACGTCAAATTCCGCAGATGTTAAAACGTAATTTTTTGCAATACTTACATTTATATTTTATATATGAAGATATTAGCATTTTACAGTGACGTTTTGTAAGCCAATATAGATGACTAGCTAAAATAATATAAAAAGAACGATTTATAAGAAGATTGGTTGTTACAATATCAGTGCTGCATATTGAAATAAATGTTTACGATCTCCTAATTTTGTTGCTCTAAAATGTTACTTTTTAAAAACACAAAATGCTATCTTGTTTATTTATTTATATATTTTCTCATTTATAATATATTGGTTATCCTATTATTCATTCATTTAAAGGAAAACAAGGGAGGTAACTAAAGTATAAGTATTTAACTGGTGTTTTCACTAAATTTATCAAATTAAAAAGTGATCTTTTTAACTGTTCACAACAAAAATGATCATGAACGGTGAATATTTGTTGTTTATGTTGTCGCTGTTGTTTAGTCACGTTATATAAAGAATGAATCTGACATTTATTTCAGTTCATATAAACTTTTTTAAGAACAAACATTTTTATGATCGTTTGATTACCCATGGTCATGTGTATGTTACTTTTCCAGTCCTTCCAAATAGTCAAGTGATACTGCCTATGGACGAGAGATTTTGATTCTTTCGTTATCTGTTATATAACTTATATTTTATGAACAGAATAAATAAATTGGAGTATATGATGTTCACTTCTTAACAATAATGTATTGTCCTTGTATATGTATGATTAATTAGAATACCAGTGCCTGTTAAGTCACTAAGATCTTCATGGAATTGGAATCAGATTTTGACAGACTTATTTTTTTTTTTGAATTTTGCAAATTTTTGGTTAATGTGTTACGTGCAACATATTATTATTATATACTTTTTTACTATATTTCCATTGTTGTAAAGGGAACTCAACTTTTCCAGATTTTCTTTAATGTTTTCATTGTTAACACGTTTTAATTTGATCAAAACGCAATATCTAACAATAAAGCAACAACGGATAACCATAAAACAAGCCTGTTATATTTTTATTTTTCGGGTGTTATGGCGTCACTAAAGGTCCATAGCACCATTTTAATATAGCCACATACCAATAAAAATGCCCTATTTCCAGGACATAGGACATTCGAGAGATAAACTTCAAATAAAAAAAAAAAAAAATGAAAATATTGCTGGCTCTGTTTGAATGGTTCTGTTCATCGAACGGTACTGGAATATGTGAGCTAATGTCTATACCTCCAGTACTGGTTTAAGCAGAATTCAACAATTAAAATAACATGGTAAAACTGTAAATAAGAAATATCGTATTGTACTAGTAATTGTACAATTAAACAGAATACCAGTGTCTGTTAAGTAACTAAGATCTTTATAGAATTGGAATCGGATTTTGACAAAATTATGGCCCTTTTTGAACTTTGCTTATTCTTGGTTAATGAGTCCCGTGCAATATTATTCTTCAAAACAACTAAAGGTTTTCACTTGAAATTATATACATGTTTGCAGGGTCATACCCAAGGACCATAACTCTTTCATGGATTTTGACTGAATTACGACTCTTTTTAAACTGAAAAATTCTTAGTTCAAGTTTCTGGCGCAACTTCAATCTTTATAACTATTGAAGGTATTTACTTGAAACTTTATACATGTCTTTGGTATCATAATTGGAGGTCACTGTCCAAGGTCAATAACTCTGACATGTATTTTGAATTGAAAGAAGAAATAAGGCCCTTTGTGAGCTTAGCTAATTTTACATCGAGCCCTGGGAATAGTCGAGCATGCTGTCCTATAGACGGCGCTTGTTGGGCTATTGCCCCGTCTATTAGAAGTTTGGGGTTTGTCATATCTATATTAATAAATTAACTGTATATACAACAAACAATTAGAAAAGCTAATGGCAACAAATTTTTGCCGACAAATCCAAAATTTCAGCTCAATTTTATGCTTTAATAAAAAGTATTCTATAGGTAAAGAAAACATGTACATGAGAAAGGGTTTGACCTATTATAAAGAAAATAAAATAACTTCTCACAGCTAATTTGTTTTAATTCTGGAGAAATGCCCTTTATAAAACAATTAAAGCAAATCTATAGATATCTGTACAATAATGACTTCATGAAAATACAGTTTTTCAAATAAAAAAAACAATAGAATATATTCTTACAAGTAATTGTCATCTCAAACTTATAGTTTTACAGACTTAGATTTAATGTTGCTTTTAAAAGGTTGAAATAAAATAAAGCAAACTTTCACTACGCTACATAATTTCATTGATAAGGATATAGGTTGAATATACTTGAAGACAAAATGGATCTCGGAGTTGTTTTATTTGTAATAGCAGTGGCTACTGGTAAGAGATTTGTTCCTAAATAAATGATTTATGACAATCTAGTTACACGCACAATAGTTTTGCTTAAAAAGAATCGTCAATCAAAACAGAAAAAACTGTATATGTAGTGTTGCACTTCTCGTCAATGACGTCATGATATCCTCGTTTTGGAATTCTACACCAGTTAACATGATCTATATTTAGTAAGCTGATAAGGCATTTTCAAGTTCTCCTTATGAAAATAAAAGCAAAGCAAAACACAACTAACATGTCAATTTCGAAAGCAAGTTTAGCGTACATGTATTAACAAGAAAAAAACAAACAAAAAGAGAGAAAAATATGGAAAGATAAATTGTTAGGAAGAGATTACTATGTAACATTGACAAAGCAAGATGATGAAAATAAAAAAAAAGTTACTAAAATATTGAAAATTATCAAAAATCAAAAAGAAACTGCAGAATGCATTAACACTTTTAAAATGTGGAATTATATCTAGTGTACATATCTACATATCTACACCTACTGAATACAGATTGCTTAATCAAGGCTTGTCTGACAGTGGCCTTATGATGTTTTATGAAATATAATATCTCTCAAAATCATAAATGTATTTAATAGATAAAATCTTGTTGGCGGCACCGGTGAGCGGCGTATTGTAGGCCCATGGTATAGGAGCTGTTATTATTAGCAGTTAATGTCATGTTGTCTTAATTAGTTTTATTTTGATTTTTTAAAAACCAGTAAACAAATATGTTCTTATTTTATATTATAACATTGACCGTCATCAGGTGTACATGGTACATTGCGGGTGCCAAACTACTACAGTAACCACATGGTGTTACAGCGTGCACCTGCTCGAGCAATTTTGTGGGGATATGCTGACGTCATAGGTGATACAGTAACCATTTTGATGAACGGCGTTCAAATTCAAGAAGCCACGGTTCAGAAAAGTACCAAAAATAGTAAGAATTCATTTTTTTAGGATATTCATATTGATATTTTATTATTGGATATTTCATTTTAACATCGATATTACATAATATTACATATTACATATATCGATAACGACAAAACAACGGCAAAATAGCAGTTGAATAATACAAAAAAAGATATGATGTAAATCTTATATATTATAGACACAGTTGGATTTTGGAAAGTTAAGCTTCCAGCAGAGAGTAACCCAGGGCCGCACGAGATTCACGTAAAATCTAGTGAGGGGTTTCTCTCATTTGTTGACGTCATGTTCGGGGATGTGTGGGTGTGCTCTGGACAAAGTAATATGCAGTTTACAATGCGAGAGGTAAACGTCTCATTAAGGATGACTCCTTTTAGCTCGATTAAGTATTATATGCACGTTCTTTCAACTTAAAGAAAACAGTCACGTGATCAATTTCTGAACTGACCAGTATTTTATGTATGTGGTTAAACATTGTTGCGACCACATTTCGTACCGGAACTAAGTCATTCTTGAACGTCTAACAAATGTAAATACATGTTTAAGTATTAATAACAAACAATTGAAAAGGCCCCAAAGAATGTTTAATAAATAGCTGGAACAAATTTGTTTAATTTGTATTGTAGGTGTTCAACAGTACACATGAAATCGATGACTCTATACAATACGGTGATATTCGGATGTTATTCTCTGACTTTAAACAATCAAATGTGCCACTTGACGATGTCTCATTAAAACGGCCGTGGATATATCCCATTAAAGGTGTTTTTCCTAAGTTTCATTAACGGAATTCTATGGTTTATACAATTTTTTGTTACGATTAAAAGCGCCTGCATCCATGCCCTTTTATATTACAGTGAAACTTGAAAACTTGAAAACTTTTAACGCCTATTTCTACATATAGAATACATATTCAATGGCGTTGTACAGCTATATACCTTATATGTGCTACTCCCAGTGCTACCATACACAATACTCCCAGCAGTGCGACGGTCACAGTGATTGGGTCAATCCCCACCAACATGTAACAATCTACACCCCTGCACCCATGCACATGATAACACATGGGCTAGACTTTATTATATTATTGTACAATAAATAATAAAAACTGATAGAAATATACAAACATGCACAAAACAATTAGGAACAGACAATGCCTTCAGCGTCACTTAAAAAAGTGCAAAAAAGTCCTTGAAATAAAATGATTTCAGTTATTACAGTGAAAATTTATCTATGAATATACTTGATATTTAAATCTATATATTCTTTTCAAATATCTTCCCTTTTGTACTGACATTTATTTACTTAGCAAGATACGACGCTCGTTTACGTAAATACCTTTAAGAAGTAAAACAAATGAAAATATAAGAAATGTTGCTTTATTTTTAGGTATAATAAATGAGTTTTCGGCCCTATGCTTCATGTTTGCACGTGATCTTCAAAAGCGTTTGAAATATCCAATCGGAGTAATTGAATCAGATTGGGGCGGTACTCCAATAGAAGTATGGAGTGGCCCGGATGCTGTCAACGCATGCCCGACGACATCAACCATTACGCCGTGTGTATTTATATTTGTAGGAAAAACATGGCAAATCTATTAATGTTTCAATTTGACCATTACGTTTCATTCGTATGATTTCACTACATTGTAGAAAAAAAACCCAGCATGAAATTAAAATACATTTGTATTATATAGTAATTTAAATTAATAGGTATGTTATAGTATGTGGCCAAATTTGAAATTGATAAAGTAATCCCGGTTATTTTCTAAAAGATAACACATATAAGTACAGCTGAAAAAGTAATTAATTTCTGTGGATAATTGGAAAAAAGAGCACTGACATTATATATCTGTAGGAATAAGCACTGGCCAACAGAGAGAGGAGTGCTCTGGAACTCTATGATACATCCCTACCTGTCAATGACAATTAAAGGCGCCATCTGGTATCAAGGTAAGAAAGCAGTGTAATTACGTAAATAATTACTGCTTTACTTCTTCTTAAGGAGAAATTCACTTGAATTATTACGGTTTTACGCCTTCATAAGTAGTTATTCACGCGAACAATTACTGTTTTACTACTTCTTAAGGAGTAATTCTCGTGAACAACTACTGTTTACTACTCTTTAAGGAAAGGTATTAGAACCGATGCACCAAAATGCCGAGACATAGAATATCTCTCTCTATTACAATATATCTAGTCAAGGACAAAAATATACTAGAATTTAACTTTGCATGTACAGTCACGTAAATAAAGCTGACTTTTTATTTTTTATATAATATAATTATATCGCATTTCATATACTAGTATTACACACGCCGGGTAAAGTAACTTTTGCAATGCATTAACAACGAGTGTAGAACAAAAGTCCTCCCGAACAAAAGCCCTCCCGTCCAAAAATGACAAAGGGGGGGGGGGGGGGGATATAAATTACAGCTAATACACATAAACATTCAATACGACCGTAGACTTCAGTAATGTTCACTTTTTCATATTTAATCAGAAATATACAACGGAAACTTACAGCGGATTTTTCTAAATTCAAATTTTCACCATTTTTTGTGTTTAAATGTTGAATTCTGCTTAAGCCGGTGTTTGGGGGTTTGAACGGTAACTTAAACCGACCCGGCAACATTTTCAATTTTGTCGTGTTTGGAATTTCTTTAGATACTCTCTTTTCTCTATTTAACCAAATTAACATCATTTTATTCAATGTTGCTTACAATCAAACAAACGTAGATCATCACAGGTTTATGTAACAAAGAAAAACATTATATAAATATCATTCATTAGGTGAATCAAACGCAGGCCGACCTGACCTATATGCATGTCAGTTTCCCGCCATGATCGATGACTGGCGGAAGAAATTCCATGCTGGATCAGACGGTGAAACAAGTGATCACTTCCCGTTTGGATTCGTTCAGGTAACGTTTTTATATGCCCGAAAGAATTATACCCCCTGGCGTCCGACCGTCTGTCAGGGCGAACATCCAATGGTCTATGAGCTTCATTCCGTCCATAATTGTAGTTAAACAAAGAAGTAAATCCCATAAACCGACTGGTTTATGTGGTAATTTTACTGGTTTATTGGGGAAAATGCCACATAAAGATCAAAGAAAAAGCACATAAAGACAAATTGTTGGCACGGCCGTCCGTCCGTTGACTTTGGAACAATCCCTGTGCAAGCCCGTAATGCCATCTCCACTGAACTTCTTCATCGACAGCAGGTTTCGTGAAGAGATCTCTCGGAAATAAATATTGCCAAATTTGAACAAATGAGCAAACTTCTCGGAATGGCACAGTTTATTAGATAACAAAGAATAAACGAACTGAACGGCCAGTAAGGAATATTTGTAGAGGTTTAGGTGATTATATCTGGGACACGAGAGCACATTATCTTTTTTTACATATGGCACATGTCAAATAAAATATAGGAATATTAAATTTTGATATTGTCACATTATCGCCCGTTATGTATACATACATACATACATACATACATACTTACATACATACATACATGCATGCATACATGCATGGCATACATACATACATACATACATACATCATGATCAACATGCCATTTCCAAGATCATGATTATCGTCTATTTAGTTTTTATTGATGATAAAAATGAGAGTATGTAAGAACACAAATTTTTTGAATTGTTTTTTTATTGTTGTAAATTTACTTCAGCTTGCACCAAATCGTGCTGGTAACACTATTGGAGGTTTCCCGCCGACAAGATGGGCGCAGACGACAGACATTGGCTATGTGCCAAATTCAAATATGCCAGATACATTTATGGCAGTTGCAGTTGATTTACCAGATTTTAATTCTCCATCCGGGACGTAGGTAGATCTCTATCGCCAATGCTCATTTATTCGGAACATACTTATTTAAACATTAAATGATCAATCTATTGCAGTTCATTTAAGACAAATTGATCAGAGCTCCACGAAGATATAATTATTAATTGCTCTGGACGTTTGATTTAGAAAACGATTAATCGAATCATTGAATTACCCCAAATCGAACCAAATGCCAACAGATCCTACTGTTCATTTATTGATAACAATGCGTATCAAATATATTATTACAAAGTTACCCTTTTCGATTGTATCTCATTCGCCACGAGAAAGATTTGCCTCAGCTTGTGCAAAAGTGAGACAAACCTTTTCTATCGAAACGGGATGATCAAGCACATTACCCTAACAAAAAAGCTTTTGGAATTGAATAAACGATTGATTAAATTATAGCCTTATCAAAACAGTTCTTCGATGACTGATTTCTTACTCTATTTTTTGTTGTAAGATAGAAACATTTCCAAACTTGGTGAATTAAGTATCAAACACTTCCAAACTTGGTGAGTGTATGTATCTCTGAAGAGGTTGTAAATTAAACATAATGCAATTCAAAATTTGTGCAGCCATTTTAACTTCAGGAGTTTGGCCTACTTTTGCTTTCAAGTACTTAAAACACCAACAAGTCATGCAATCGATTTAGTTACTTTGTCATGGGTATGGTTTTTAATTATCAAAGTTAACATTATAAACATTATATAATTCAGTATTCATCCGACATATAAACAAGATGTAGCAGCTCGTCTAGTTCTGGGAGCCATGAATGTTGCCTATGGAGACAAAAGTGTTGTATTCCAAGGTCCATTTCCTACCGAGTATAATGTTAACAATGGCCAACACACGTTGGGCATTACTTTTAACGCCGGGAGTGGAAATTTACATGTGAACAATAACAACGGGTTTGAGGTAAACAACAGCCATCTTTCCAATGTTATTGTCTACACTGTCAACATTTTCTTAATGAAAACGTTTACAAAATAAGATATTTTGAATTTTTATATTGAATGATAAAAATATTTTCTTTTAAGCATTTTACAGTTAAGCATTTTACAGTTAAGCATTTAAAGCATCTTAAAAAAGTACATTTAACCAGTCATTGTAGCTGCGGAATTGCCTTTAAGGGTTTGGGCATCAGAATTGCAAGGTGAGGTGTTTTGTCGCAGGTGTTACTTTAAGTTTGTGACACCCAAGGTTAGCCAAAATTATTTTACTGTTTTTGGCGGCGAATGACCTAAATTGTGTTTAAGCGCCGTAAAACCAGAAATAAACACCCCCACACAAAACAAAAACAATAAGCACATCTAACCACTGTATAATACATGCTTTAACATATACTTGTTTTTCCTTTGTAAGATATTCAAATATTTGGTCGATATATATAATATATTTTTTTCTGTATATATATTTCAATTAAAAGGTTTGCTGTGCAAGTACGACTTCCGGTTGTAATTTTCCAACTGCTTGGGTAGCTGCTCCAATAAAAGTATCTGAATCATCAAATATTCAGATAGATACTTCCGGTTGCCATGGAAACTTTCATGTTGCTGGTGTCAGGTATGCTCAGTTCCTAGTAAAAACATAAAATAAAATCTAGATTTAAAGAGACATAATTATTTTCAATATGCAATAGATGAGTAAGATAAATATAATTATTTCAAACCTTATAAAAATATAACCAATGAACATTCAGCGTCTACACCACGTGGTGTTCCAAAAGAAATCATTATTGCATCCAGTCTTATCAATTAAGCCAGAGTCCAAAAGGTCCATATCAAATGCACATCGGTCCTCTTTTTCTCTTTCAGAGTCCCAAAAATATCTATATCAAATGGATAGCATACTCAATCTGGTCTGGTTTTCTTTTTTAATCTGTATCAAATACTTAATGTAAATTTTTGAAGTATCCAAGTTCTCTCAAAATGTCAAAAAAGATGGTGTGAAATAAATAAAGAGGTCATTTTTAAATAACCATGAAACAATACCGATTCTGTTGGAC